GGATATATGAAATGTGTATCAGGAATGTTTTCATTTTCCAGGCAGCAGGAGAGACGAATGGCCAGACAGTTAGCCTTCCTGGCAGCAGAGCCGAGTGTAGCTGAACGTGAGTTTGCATTTCCTTAGGTATTTATTTGTCTGTTTATCGCAACAATGAATTTAATGGAATTACTTGTCTCTAATGGTTTCTAACCGAACAGGAGGATTTACACAGCAACATATTAGTTCATTGTTGAGGGTGCAATCCCATTAAATTAGATACTGCCATATTAAATAATTCCTCACATGAAAACCCAAAAGCAGTTAGATTCCCATTGCACAGAGAGGATCTCCTTGCTGTGGTTTTCAGTATTTGTATCTGAACGTTTCAGCTGAGATGCACAGAAATTAACCTTGGAGAATAGTAAGTTGGCAAAGCCAAGCCCTTGGAAGCCTGAATTAAGGTGATGGATGTTTTGCCTCATCAGGTGAATGCCCCGGTAACTCCTAGCCCAGGCTGTGGGTGACGGGGCAGCCCTTTGGATCTAGCCATAAAATCAAAGGCGTTTTGACTAAGAACGGATGAACTAGATTTACAATGTGGGCATATTTTCACGGAGGATGGCAGGGCAGCAATCAGGGTTTCAGATCCTCAGCCCTCCAGAGCATGGAGCTGCGAACACTTTCCAAAAAAAAAAGTCATTCTTTACTCATACAGATGTGTATATATACATAATTGGAAAAACTACATTTTTTTTTCATAATCCTGTTCTCTGAAAAAGCTGAACAGTTTGGACTGTCCTTGTTCGATAGAAAATACCCTGAGATGGACTCCAGGATGGAGCATTTCAGCCAGAAACTCCCACTCCCCCACGTTGCAGCCTCGCTGCAGATCGCCACACAGCCCCGACACCGGCGCTGCCAGCCCTACCCGACGCACGCAAACCCTCCCTTTGCTCTCTAGGTTCGCATCAAACCGGCACCATTTCCTACCTGCTTTCTCAAGAGCCCCCATCGCCACAAGGCCGGACGCTGGTGCCTGCTGAGAGCGCAGCAAAGCCCGAGGAGGAGCCCATCTCCTACAGCGTCACCTGCTGCGATTTTACCCCGGTGGGAGGAAAGGCAAGAAGCTGCTGCCCGATGGCGACGGGCTGCACCTCGGCCATGCCCGTGCTCCGGAGCGGCTGCAGCCTGGCACCCACCTGCCTTGAAGGGCAGTTGGTGCAGGACCGCTCTCATCCATTTTATTGTTTCTTTTCCAATCTTAGGTAGTGAAGAACGAATTGTTGGAAAAATACTACAAACACGGAGGGAAATTCCTTACCATGCTTCCAGATGGAACAGCTCAGTTATTGTATCCTTCACGGAGTTCTTTTGCCTGCATTAGTCCAGGGTTGTAATTGTAATTTTAAGTGTCCCCTGGTCTGTTTTATCACTGAATAACCTTGTCCGCCACTCACGCTCGCTTTCACAGTCTGAAAAAAGCAGTAGTGAAACCGCCTACAGAGCTCTTGGTCTGAAGTTTTTCAGATCAGCCAGCAGCTTCAATGGACGGGCACTTTAATAGCCAGCTTAAGAAATGTGCAAGCCCAGTGCTCACACCCGCTCCCGAGCTCTGGCCACCCGTGGAAGGGCACTGCTGGCCAAGGGGTCCCTGCAGCGTGGGCTCTGAAAGCGCTCAGCCTCGTCCCTTCCCGGGGACAAACCAGCACGTTTCCCACCGTCACGGCGCTCGTCTCCGTCCTCTGGGCAGGAGTACGTAAGAGCTGCACGGACAAACTGAAGTTACCGGTGTAACTAAGAGCGCTGTTTGAAGGAATAAAAACGTGGCGGTTGCACCAGAGTACCCCATAGCTTTCAGACTGCCCTTGCCATTTATTAAGCCACAACATTTTAAGTCACCCACATTATTTTTCCTTACTGTGGCTGACTTCTTTCTGACCTAGGGGGGTATGAAAGTGTACCTGCGCTCTGCCACCAAAGCAAGTGGGCTTGAGACTACTTCTCTGCCCTGCCCTCCGGGCTGCCTTTGTCCCAGGGAGGCTGCTGGTCATGGCCGTGGCAAACAGCAGAGTGCCATGAACACGTACGCTCACAGTAGCAAGTCTTGCTGGAGGGAAACCCCAATAAGACCCCAAATACCTGCAGTTTGGGTATGTTCAAGTCAGGTTTCAGGGGCAAGGGCCTTTTTCCCTCCTGGTTGCTTGTTTTTTTCTCCAGGAGAATACCTGCCCATTTTCTCTGCTGTTATCCAAGTGGAGTAATTTGTTCACTTCACTTTACTAGGCTTCTACCATCATCATGTTGTCCAAGAACGTGTCTTTAGGATAAATGCGCTAAGCGGTTCTGCCTGGTTTATTGGTTAGAAAACAACAAAAATGTGTTCTGTATCTCTAACTGCTCTTTTGTCAGTGTATACAGAATACTTCAATGTAGGAGAAAAGCACTGGCAGCGTCCCAGGTGACACTGGCAGCACACCACCGTTCCGCCTTTAACACAGTCATCTGGGTAATACGTCAATTTTTATACTCCAAAGTAGCACTCTGAAATATTTGGTATGTAATAATAGACCAACCAAACAAAGGGGTTATGTTACGAACGCCTTATCTGACAACAGCTATCCATCTGGAAATCTGGCGGTCATTGTTGTACGAGAGAAAAAAGAGCTTATTTGCATAGTACAGGAAGACATGCCGAGTAACGCCGAAATACAAGCAGTATTTAAGTCCAACGGCAGAAGTACTTGCTATTATCCACACGGAGCTGTGTGGTACGTTCACGTTGGTCAGAGCAGTTTTGCTCTCCACTGCGCATTTTAAATTTCACAGGTCATAAAGGGTATTTTTACTAGCATTCAAAAATTAAAAGCCAAGTATAGCAGCTCGCAGGCCCAGCGTCGGGTGCCTGCCAGAAGAGCAAGGCTACCCCAGCTGTGCCTGAGCTGGGGGATTAGATCCAAAACTAGCCGTGCCTCAGTACCGTCCCACTGGGCAACGAGGGCCATCGGCCACGGGAGCGGCAGGGTGCAGAGCTGTGATTTTCCCTTCTCTTAGGATAACCATGACTATTCAGGGAGGGCAGTATTTGGACCGAGCAGGCAACAGGGTGAGAAGGTGGACGTGGCCGAACAGCGTCGTGGCATCGGGACCACACGTCCCGCTGAGCCCCATCTTCATCTCCCTGAACCGGCACGTGGGGGTCAGGATCCTGGGCCAGGACAAGATCACCGTTTCCTTCCTCGCCATGGGGCAACAAGCAAAATTCAACGTGGGAACCAAAGTGCAGGTATTTCTCAAGTGCACAGGCAGTTCTGCACAAAGCCTCTCCCCACAGCGGGAGTGAGGCGGCCAGGGAAGCTCCCATCCGTGGGGAAGCACACTCATCCCACAGTGGGTGCTCCCCATGGTCCTCCTGGCCCCCAAAACAGCAAACGGTGGAGGTGTACCCATGCTCAGTCCCCATGCAGCCAGGGGGCTCACCAGCTCCGGCAGCCCTGGCTCTCTGCAAGGGGCTGCAGAGTGTGGGAAGCGCAGGTCGCCCGTGTCCCTGGCCACAGCCCCGAGGGTCACCCCATCTCTGCCATGGGGAGGAGAGCCATGATCCATGTGGGCACGGTGCGTTGCAGCTCCCTTCCCCCACGGGCTCCTGCCATGGGGGCAGGTTTGTCTACTGGGAGAGGCCAAAGCCCCGAAGCCCCATCCCGCACGCTGACACTGCTCACCTCTGCTCCCCAGGTCAGTGGCATCAGCGGGCTGCCTCCCCCTGCCCGGCTGGGCAAAGACGAGCTGCTGCTGCTTGCCCTCAGGGTGAGGATCCTGCGGCTCTTCGACAGACTGCGCAGATGCTTAAACTTTCCTTCTAATGAGCAATGGGAGAAAATGCAGCCTCCAGCGTACCTTATCACACAGACTTTAAAGATCTTACAGCTTTGCACAACTTCTGACATAAGTGACGAGCTACGCAGCTCGGTCAGGGCAATAGTAAATGCTCAAGTCTGACCAGCACGTGTGTGGTGTGATGGCAAACCGAGCCGTGAGCCGCTCCCTGGCACTGCAGTGCCTGCGCACACTCGGGGCAAGGTTCTGCCGTGGTGCGGAGCGAAGGGCAGCCCATGGTCCTTCTGCAGGGCCCCGCTCAGGGGCCATCCCACCCTGACGGGGTCTCGCTCGGCATGAGCAGGGCGGTGGGGCAGGGAGTGCCAGAGCACATCGTCTCGTCAGCCCACAGTCAAGTGCGTCTTGGCCACGGAGGCAGGAAGAGGGGCTTTGCTCAGGACAGAGAAAATCCATGCTTGATGTCAGTGCTTTGCTCCCAAGCAACTTCCCCTCGGTCTCCCAGCAGAAACCAGCCCAGGCTGATCAGTCGTTTCAGCCCATGGATGTGGCACAAAGATAAAAGCAACCAGAGCACAGCTCAGTCAGCCTGTGACAGGTATACAGGCAGGAAGTGTTTGCTCAGAAGTCACCTGCACACCCACTTTGCACAGCCAGCGTTTCTGCCAAGGACACGGCACCAACAGGATGCCCAGATTTCCCTGGCGCAAGCGCTGGATGGCAGCTCAGCCTGCTGCGGGTATGAGACACTGTGGTTCCCCATGCAGAGAGAGGGAAAAAAGCCCACATTTTGTCCAGAACAACTGAAGGTCACTGTCTTGGCGACGTTTGTGGGGATGCTGGGGACAGAAGGCTGTTAACGCGGACAGCGGTGTGGACTGCAGCCTCTTGGCAGCAGTTCATCAACTGCTGATGCAGTGGGAAGGCTCTGCTGCACCAGGCGCCCTGCGTTTCCCTCCTGCCGTGGGCCCGGCGGCCACAGGAGCAGCATGGGCGGAGGTGATGGGGCATGGACACCTCATGAACCGGGTGCCTGGGTCTGGCCCCCACCCCAGCTCCCAACAGTTCAGATGTTCAAGGCCAGTGGTTTCACCTGGCCTTTCATCCTGCTCCTGAGCACCTTTGCGAGGTGGCTCCAGATGTCTTTGCTGTACAAGGCGTAGATGAGGGGGTTGATGAGGGAGTTGTTATAAGGTGTCCTTGGCCAGGTTGCAGGAGCTGCAGGCGGCTTGCATGGTGCCCTCCACCAGGTAGGGGCTCCAGGAGAGGCTGAAGCTGACGAAGATGATGAGCATGGTCCGCAACGCCTTGAAGTGGCACGGGTGGGCGCAGAGAGGCGCCGTCTGGGTGCAGGCGTGCCGGAGCCACGTGTGCTGCACATAGGTGATGCTGCTCACTGAGACGTGCAGGCACACCAGCACCCGCAGGGACGGAGCAAAGATGCCGAAGCAGATCGCATAGAGGTACTCGCTCTTGGCCGCGTACAGGAGCCCATGGTAACCCGTGTAGTTGCCTCACTGGAGGGAAGCCAAGATCAGAGGCAAGTGCCAGAAAAGGAAGGAGAGCATCCAGAGGACAACAAGGGAGAGGACTACGGGCATTTTCTTCAGGAGGGTGGGGTAGGAGAGCAGCAGCATCACCACCAGGTAACTGTCCAGGGAGATCAGGAGCAGGGTCAGGATGGAGCCAGCGCAAGGTGTCATGCTCATAGTGACATGCAGGAGGCAGAAGGATTTGCTGCGGTCAAAATCCCTGTCAAGGATGTCATCCAGCACCTCAGCATTGCACATCACGCCCACCAGTAGGTTGGCGGTGGCCAGGTTGAGGATGTAGACATAGCTGGTGCCTGGGTGCTTCCTCATCAGCTGGTAGACGGCCATGATCACCAGCAGGTTGGCCGGGAGGATGAGGCAGCTCAGGAGGGAGTGCAGCACCACGTACAGGAGGCTGACCATCTTCCCAGGCAAGGAGCATTAAAAGAGATACCCAGGAAAACTTATCCCCAGTGCGGAAAAACCCACCACGAGGAGCTGAGCTGGAGGGATGGGACAGAAGTACCTCAGATCCTCCAGCTGCAGACCAAGGCCAGGAGCACCTAAGTCAGTCCTTTAAGGGGCACTTTGTCCATCCCAGGAGTCCTCTGCAACTTTCCCAGCTGCTCCATGTTGCCAGTGGTTTTTCTAGGGCTTTTGGCCTCCCTCCTACCCATCTGATTTTGCTCCGCCCCTGCAGGGATGCTCCGAGATACAGAAGAGCCAGAGTCCTCTCCTGCGCTCAGCACAAGCCACCGCAGAGTGAACGCACCCAGGGCAGGAGCTCACCGCCCGGGCGCTGGCTGGGTCGCTAGCTCCCGAGCACGCCTGTGACGCAGAACGATAAGGAGCAGCTTCGCCAAACAAAGCCAAGACAGGTGGTCAGTGGGGACGGGAATGTGGGTGGGCCACGCTCCTCGCAGGGAGCCA